CTGTCTCTACCAAGTGGGTCCGTCATCGGTCGATAATTATGACAATAATAACTAATAAGAACTTTTTACTAAATTGTAAATTGTAATTATGTAGTTTATATTCAACACAATTAATAATTCATATATATATATATATATATATATATATATATATATAATAGGAATTTGGCCCTTACCGACACCGTGTGACGGCCCACTTGATAGGCAACACAAACTCCTGTAAGATCATCGGTCTTTAATATACCTCGTCGGTGATAAGAGTAAAAATATTCCAACACTGTTATCTCTTTAATAGCCCGCCTGATTTTTAATTATTCGCTATTATTCCAGTCTATAGTTCAGTGGATGTATGTCAAGAATTTGTAATAATTTCAAATTGTAGAAGATATTTTTGCTGTAAAAATGATACCAAATTTAAAAAATTGGTTTATAAAGTGACACAAAAGATAACATAGTTGAACACAGCAATTTAGCCGTATGCGATTGTGTCGCGTTGTACCGTAATTGGAAAGCACTTGTGCACTATGTTATCTCTGCGTTATTGAAAAGCATTCGTGATCTGTCTCTTTGTTCAGCAGATTCGCGATCTGGAATAAGTTTCGATTATGAATCAAACACAATATTTCTTGATCGGACATAATTACGATCACACAGTTTTAATCAACCACAGTCCCAGTCAGACATAGTCCCAATCAAACACAATCCTGATCAGACATAATCTCGATTGGACATAATCCGAATCAGACAGTCCCGATCAAACACAAGACAAGACCCTATCAAACACAGTTTCTTTCAATAAAGTAAAGTAAATTTTGCTTTGTGCGAGAAATTGCAAATCTTTGTATCTGTAATTGTATAATTATTGACTTCTAACGTATACTGAAAGCAATAATTGATACAATAGATTTTGTTTCGCGCAAAAATATCTATACAAGTTCACGTAGAACTTTGTTTAATCGAATCTGTGTTCGATCGAGTCTGTATCCGAGTGAGATTATGTTTGATCAAGATTGTGTCCGATCGGGAAATATTTTCGTGTTTATTTGGTAATGAGGATAATCCCGTGAGCAGGACGTTATGCGTCTTTGCATCATTCCATTGAAGAATAAAAAAGGACATGCTTTCTACAATATTATCAATAAAATATTATATTGTGCGTTGAGATTTATTAGTTGTAACAAAAGTTATGATAATAGTAATAGAAAAGTTATGATAATAGTAATAGTTAATATAAAAGAGATATCTTACAATAAATTTTAGCATTAAATATATGTACATATATGTATATGTATATCATAATGTTTATGTTAATTTTACTTTTTTACATCAATACTGTACTTACACATATATACGAATGTTTAGCTAATACTATTCTTTTATATTAAACTTCTAAAGCCAACTCTTCGTTGTTTTGTCATGTATTCTGCATTTTTGATGGCCTTGTTTTGTATATAAATATAGATTGCATAATTTTAAACAAAGTCAATAGTGCCGCGAGTTTTAAATCTATAAGCTAGAAACCGGCAAAGAATATTTTTATATTAAAAATTGTTTTAATTTGTGGTATAAATTTAACGATACAATTCTATATTACTACATATACTTTTATTATATAAAAGGATTTAAAAATCTACGAAATCAATAGAAAAAAACAACTTGAAATAAATTCTATTTGGTCGAAAAAACAGACAATTTCAAGAATCTCTTTAAAAAGTAAATGTTAGAGACGCAAATTATTTTAAGTCTATTTTTCATATGTAGATTCCTTCTTGCTTTGGCACTCATGTCGCCATCTATACTTTTCTCCAACTATTACTCTCTCGCGCGATCTCTTCTCTCTACGACACTCACATTAATTCTTACACTGTACGATCAATTTATGTGTTCAGTACGCTAATTACAATAAAAGTGTCTGTCATTTAATTACATGAACCCGTGTCCCGCATCGACCTCTCTATCCAACAGGTTATGGGCCCAGGGCATGTAAGTCGCAAGAAAAGTATATCGCGCGACGTAAAGTGTAACCGCAACGTGACGCCGAATTATAACCTAACAAAAAAAAAACGTCGACTAAATAACGACTAAAGTAAGAACAGCGTCATGGCAAGTATCGCTAACTCCACACGCATTGAAATGCTCAACCAAAACAATTACAATACATGGAGTATTCAGGTTGAAGCGTTATTAATAAAAGCGGATTTGTGGAAATTTGTCTCTGGCAGGAAAGCAAAATCTGAGGTGCAACAAGGCGCATCACAAGCGGCACAGCAAGCAGCCCTGGACAAGTGGATAGCACAAGACAGGAAAGCGAAGTCGGACCTCATCTTATCGATATCCCCTTTTGAACTGATGCAGGTACGCGGATGTGAAACATCACGCGAAATTTGGACAAAATTAGAATGCACCTACGCATCGAAGGGACCGGCACGTAAGGCAAACTTGCTCAAGCAACTTATTTTGCAAAAATTACCCGACAATGGTGATCTTAAAGAGCACCTTTCGCGATTCTTTGATATTATCGATAGGCTTAGTGCCATGAATATCGAGATAAATGGTGATCTTCTTACAATCATGTTATTGTACAGTTTGCCCGATAGTTTCAAAAATTTTAGATGCGCTATCGAGACTCGCGACACGCTACCGGACGCCGAATCGTAAAAATCCTCGAAGAAAATGACGCCAGGGTTCGAAGATCAAGTCAAATGCAATGTATGCAAAATACAATCTGAAGGAAAAATCTTCCAAAGATAAAATTGAGACGAGTAATTCTAAGGCCAACAAGAAAAAGGTAATCTATAAATGTAATTACTGTCAAAAGAAGGGACATAAGGAATCCGAGTGTTTTTCAAAGAAAAAGGCTAAGGAAAACAAATTGTCAAAAGATCAAAACGCTAACCACGTTGACGAAAGTTTTTTCATAAACAGCCCAATAGCCGGAACTAGAAGTCGAGCATAGTGCATAGACAGTGGATGTACGACCCATTTATGCAAGGACAAGGACTCTTTTTCAAGATACGAAGACACGGACAGTAAAATACGAATGGCTGACGTAACCACAACGGGTGTTCACGCCAAAGGCACCGTAAAAATGAGCATCCGATGTGGCGAAGATAACCGAAAGATTAATCTCGAAAACACCCTATACGTTCCCGAGCTCTCGACAAATCTAATGTCCGTGGCAAAAATAGTAGACAAAGACCACGAAGTCATATTTAAAAAGAATCATGCCGTTATCAGGGATCTACAAGGGAATGTAAAAATGTTCGCGGAACGTCAAGGAAATTTATTCTACGTTCAAGAATGTCAGCGAGAAGACTGCAACACAGCTAGCGACAAAAAGGACATGGTCACACTTTGGCACGGACGCCTATGCCATCTAAATTTCCGAGATTTAAATACAATGAAGAAAAATCACAACGTCATAGGAATAAATTTCAAGGACCCAAATTCAATTCCGGATTGTAAAACATGCCTTGTCGCAAAGTTACCTTGACAGTCGTTCCCCAAGAGAGAAGAAAAGTTGTCTGAAAAGCTTCAGATTATTCACACCGATCTCTGCGGGCCCATGAGGACAACTTCGAACGGCGGAGCCAGATATTTTATGACTATCACAGGCAATTTTAGTCGCTGGGGCGACATCTACTTCCTAAAGAGCAAAGACGAGGTCCCATAAAAAATGATCAAGTTCATCGAAAAGGCTGAAAGACAAACAGGATCAAAGGTCAAAGCGGTGCAATCCGACAACGGCACTGAATTTTGCAATCGGAAACTAAATGAATATTTCATATTATTATAGAAGAAAGGCATTCTACGCAGATTCACCGTTCTCAACACTCCACAACAGAATGGTACGACGGAACGCCGTAATCGTACTCTCGTGGAACCTGCCAGGTGCATGTTAATGCAGGCAAACCTCCCGAACTCATTTTGGGCAGAGGCAATAAATACAGCAAACTACGTGTGAAATAGATGTATTTCAAAAAGTTTAGACGCAGGCACACCGTACGAAATTTGATCAAGTAAAAAGCCGAACGTCAAACACCTTCACATTTTCGGTTGTAAAGTTTTTGTTACAGACACCACTCCAGGAAAGGATAAATTCCAACCCAGGGCCAAGGAGGGCATATTCGTAGGCTATTCATCCAAATCAAAGGCCTATCGCATTTGGATCCCAGCTGAGAAACAAGTACACATCAGCCGAGACGTAAAATTTTTGGACGAAAATCTAGGCAACAGACATAACGACGTCATAAATCCTGAACATATTGACGGCAACAAAGACGCAAATACGCACACGCCCGAAATAGATTTTAATCAAGACACAGCCATTATCGGAAATAATTCCGAACGCGAAAACAATGTGGACGAAAGCGACAATGAAGAACCTGATATTTCTCAAAATCAGGAGCCGAAGAGAGGCCCAAGCAAACCGAAACTAATACGTACAGGTCAACCTGGTCGTCCGAAAAAACAATACGCGACGGTCGTGAACAACGCTACCCAGAGACAGTCGAGCAGCACAACCAAGACGTCATCTGAGAGGGAGCGATTGTAGTCAGCGACGACGAATGGTTCGATGCATCCTCAAATATGTGCACCGCGGAAATTCTTTTCGCCCAAGCTATATCCAGCAACAACCATGAAGAATGGAAAGATGCCATCTATGAAGAGATGAAATGTATAGTTGAACACGACACATGGGACATAGTCAAAAGGCCGCCAGACGCCAAGGTTATCGGATCAAGAATTGTTCTACGCAACAAATATGGATCAGATAGACAGCTCGAACGTCGAAAAGCGAGATTGGTCGCGAAAGGATTCGCGCAACGTCCCGGAGTGGATTTCCACGACACTTTCGCTCCAGTGGCACGACTCAGATCATTTAGGTTTTGTCCGTAAAGTTTAAGTTGACGATTAGTCAATTAGACGTCACCACCGCATATTTGAATAGCAAAATCGACACCAAGATACATATGTCGAAATCTCCACTGCTTCACAAAATGCTGCAGAGAATGATAAAGGAAGAATCGAACGCAAGCATCGCAACGAAGGCTAAGAAGATGTCATCTAGCATCAAAGGCGAAGATCAAGTGTGTCGTTTAAATCGCGTCATATATGGCTTAAAACAGGCAGGACGTTAATGATACAATCGACTTAACGAAGTCTTACAATTAATCGGTTTCCGACACACCAAGTCCGACCCCTGCGTATTTGTCGATAATACTGAAACCACGCCAACAATAGTAATGGTCTACGTTGACGACATTATTATCGCCTCCAAAAACTCAGGGAGAGTCAACATGATCAAGGCGGAACTGTCAAGGAGATTCAAAATAAAGGATCTTGGACCTGCCAAGTATTGCCTGGGTTTCGAAATTCATCAACAAAACAGCATAATCAAGTTGTCGCAGGCTGGTTACATTAGGGAGATTCTTAACAAATTTGGAATGTCCGAATGCAAATCGGCTTGCACCCCATTGGCAGTCAGCTCAAAATTTTCCTAAGGCGAGGGAGGACCAGACCTCGAATTTCCTTACCGAGAGCTCGTTGGAGCTCTAATGTATTTGGCAATAGGAACGCGACCTGACATTGCTCACGCCGTCAGCGTTCTTGGTCAGTTCAATGACTGCTACGATAAATCACACTGGTTGGCAGCTAAACGTGTGCTCAGATACCTAAAGGGCACCGAACATTATGGTATAACATATAACAAAAAAACCGACGACCTTACAGGATACGTTGACGCCGACTGGGGCGGCTCGATTGACGACCGCAGATCATACACAGGCTTAACTTTCGTACTATCGGGCGCCGCTATTTCCTGGACATCTAGAAAGCAGCGCACCGTTGCATTGTTGTTCACCGAGGTCGAATATCTTGGACTCACCGACGCTGCGAAAGAGGCACTACACCTAAATCAATTCCTAAAGGAATTTGGACTTAACATTCCTATTCCTATTAAGTTATATAACGACAACCAAGGCGCTGCTAATCTATCGAGAAATCTCGTCCACCACGCAAAGTCGAAATATATCGACATTCGTTGTCACTTTATCAGAGACGCGATTTCCAACGGACTTATCAAAGTAATGGTAGTAATTCAATCGACCAATTCTGGCAAATAATTAAATTTATTGTATTTTCACAACGTTTCGGCCGTGGGTTTCGGCCCTTATCAATATAATTAATAAGAATCCTGTAAAAAAGTTAACTAACAAAATGCATTCACTCATTAAGTCTTGGCTCGATAATAAATTAATAGACGTGACTACTTACAATTATTTAAATGTAACTAACGACAATTTACCACGTTGTTACGGGTTGCCGAAAATCCACAAAGATGACTTTCCATTACGAATTATAGTATTGTCTTTATGTAGCCCGTTATATAATTTGTCAAACTACATACATAATATACTCATTAATTCCATTAAAAAACCGAGATCGTTTATTAAGGATGGTTGGTCCTTTGCCGAGAATATTAAGAACAAAGCAATTAATGACGATGAAGTATTAATATCATTAGATGTTACTTCCTTATTTACGAATATCCCGAAAGAATTAGTAATTAGCGGAATAAAAAAGCGTTGGACGGACATCTCAACCAAAACGAAATTCAACCTTTCCCAATTTTTATATGTAATTGACTTTATTATAAATTCAACAAGTTTTGTTTTTAACGGACGTTACTATGAACAGATTTTGGTAGTCCTATGAGGTCTCCGCTCTCACCCATATTAGCGGATATAGTGATGGACGACTTAGAGACGGATTGCCAGGAAAGATTGAGTTTCAAAACTTCGCTGTTTTACAGATATGTGGACAATATTTTCACGATCATCCCATTAAAGGGTGTTGATGAAATTGTGTCGGCTTTTAATAATTACCATCCGAGATTAAAATTTACACATAAAATTGAAAGTGATAACGCGATTAATTTTTGAACACTTCTGTGATTAGACATAATGGTAGTTTGTTAACTGATTGGTTTATGAAACCCACTTGCTCAGGTAGATATATTAATTATGATTCTAATTATCTTTTTAAATACAAAAAGAATACCATTTTTAGTCTTGTTGACCATGCAATTTTATTATAGGACGACTGTTTTCATCAAAGGAACATCTCTAAAATCGATATTGACGAATAATTGTTTTCCGTCGGATATTATTAATAAGTTTGTGAATAATAGGTTAAAATTGCTCAAGACACGAAATAATGACAATCGCAATGTGGATAATGACAATTTAGTTAATAAAAAATTTGACCGTATTATACAATTACCGTATGTCAAAGAACTTAGTGAGGATGTCTCGAGGTTATTACGATTTACTGGCTTGCAAAGCGTTTACTGCATACCGAAAAAATTAAATACATTAATTAGACGCGTCAAAGATCCTTTACCGTTAGAAGAAAAAACAGGAGTAGTATATAAGATTAATTGTGCAAATTGTTCCTCATCATATATTGGTCAAACTAAACGACAACTAGGCACACGTATAAAAGAACATTCTAATAATTTTAAATTACACAATAGTAATTACTCAGTCATAAGTAATCATAAATTGGACAATGGTCATGATTTCAATTGGTCTACTCCAGAAATTTTACATCATGAGAAATATGTAAGTAAACGAGAAATCGCGGAGATGTTTTTTATCAAAAATTTGACAACACAATTAATTTACAAAAAGACACGGATAATTTAAATAATGTTTACGAAAAATTAATAAAGGTCGTTTAGTTTGATCAAAATAGTGAGTATATAAGGAGCTCGAAATCGACACGATACATAGTTATTTCGTATTATACTATCATGTTATTATATAATGTCATATTTTAAGATCGAATTTTTGTTTTTAAAAAGTTGTGATTTAAGAACATAGGTATGGTTGCGAATTAACGTGTGAATATTTTTTTATATATTTTATTATTTTTATAGTTGTTCTAATAATTAATATTATATTATAGCACTTGATAAGGGCCGAAACCCATGGCCGAAACGTTGTGAAAATACAATAAATTTAATTATTTGCCAGAATTAGTTGATTGAATTACTACCATTTTTTAATTATCATCCGGTGACTTCATAATTTATATCATTTATCAAAGTAAAGTATCTCCCCACCGAACGCATGCCCGCCAACATGCTTACAAAGGCGTTGGGTTCAACGAAGCATCTGGCTTGCTGTGAGTTTATCGGAGTAGGATCGATCCGCTGTTCGAACACAACAATAATTTGAGGGAGAGTATTAGAGATGCAAATTATTTTAAGTCTATTTTTTATATGTAGATTCCTTCTTGCTTTGGCACTCATGTCGCCATCTATACTTTTCTCCAACTATTACTCTCTCGCGCGATCTCCCCTCCTAAGACACTCACATTAATTCTTACACTGTACGATTGACCTATGTGTTCAGTACGCTAATTACAATAAAAGTATCTGTCATTTAATTAACGACGATTACATGAACCCGTGTTCCGCATCGACCTCTCTATCCAACAGTAAAAATAACAATTTAAAAAAAAATGTTTTGTTTTAATTAAAGAGTTGTTAAATATTTATTAATCATTTCAATATATTGCAGAAACATAAATAAATGTGTAAAAATAAATAAGTAAATATATGTGTTATAGAAATTTAATATTTATTATAAAATACAACATAAATCCAAAATGTATGTATGTATACATATAAGAAGAAAGAATCGCATATGTATATATATATATACATATGCGATTCTTTCTTCTCATATATATAAATTTTTAGGATATGAAAAATGTTCCCTTCTTTTTTCTTTTTTAGTGTACATGCAAGGGCATCCGTAGAATTTTTTAAGGCGGGCATAGCACTTCCAGATTGACTAAAAAAATGTATGCTTTGATATTTTATATCTTTTATTAGTATTAAAGCTTTCTCACCACGATAGATGTAAATTGAGAAAGGTTTTTGTTTTTTTTAGTATTTAAAAAAAAATTTTTAATTTTTCCTTTTTCAAGGGGGCAAGTGCTCGTTTTGCTTCTCCCCCTGCGAACCTCTATGTGTATGTATGTATATATATATATATATATATTTAACTTTATTGTTTCAGTAGTTTTCAAAAATGTTTTCTTTCCGTTTTGCGGAAAAGAAATTTTCTTCTTTATAATTGTATCTTTGACACTCTGCACACAGCTTGATAAAAAAATTTTCTCAAAAAATTTCACTCAAGTTGCATAAACTACGGCATTTAGCATACAAAATGCTATTTAAAATTTTTCTATGTTTTTTTTATAAAATTACTCAATTTTGTAATTAAATCTGTATTTTTTTAGAACAAAAAATAAAAAAAAATTTAAATCACTGACAGCGTGTTAAAGTTCACACTTGAAACTTCAATGTTTTTTTATATTTTTTGTCTACAATGATTTTTGCTCGAATTTTAACAATTTAAAAATAGTATAATTTAGCAAAAAATGCTCTCTATTTTTTTAATATATATGTATACATATATCTAAAGCAAAGTCTTTATTATATTTTAAAAGACTTCTTAATTGTTGAATAACACACAAGTATTATTTATTATATAATAAGTTATTATATAAATAAAAATTTATATAATGTAATAAAAAATTAGGAACAACGGAAAATATTTTTTTCAATTTTTTTAAATCATTAATTTTCTTCAAAACCTCGTATAAAAAATTTTATACTATATTGACTTACTTTTTTTATCGCCTCTTCAGTTGTTTCGTTAATAACAGATCATACTGTACAACACGGTTTAATACATATGCATATATCGGAAAAAGAATAAATGAATGATATAGCAGTTAAAAGTTTCGCAAAATGTCTCTCAAAAATACTGCGATACATGGAAAATTTTCTGGCGACTGTTTTCATTCATTTGGCACTTTTAATCGATAACGTTGCGCTAGCGCGACGTGGCTGAAGTCGTCCGTTGTATACACAATCAACGGAAGTGTGGTCAGAGCGTTTCCGAATGAAAGCGAGTGCATGAAGAAAACCGTCACCACCCGTTTATATATGTATATATCCGTACCTTTTCACATATATCAATATGCAATATGCATCGTCCACAGAACCGTTGCATTACTTGCGTAAAGAAACATTTACATGGTTTTGGATGATACATAACGTGCTGTTCCTTCACAGTGAAAAATATACAAATAATATAAACAATATTTTTACATAAAAATTTATGAACAATATTTAATAGACAAAAGTATATACCTATATGATTCTTTATTTTCTTTTTATAGTTATTTTCAAAATTATTAAGTACATTAATTATAGGTGTATAATAATTTCTACAAAACAGATGAAGATTATTTATTAAAAGTAAACTTTGAAATTCATGAAAGATAATGAATACTGTTATCACTTGTAGTAAAAGCTTTTTCTATTTGTTGGAAACAAAGGACGTATATATAAATTAATATATTTATATAAGTATATTATATAAGTTATATAATATAAATAATATAAATATATATATATATA